AGATACGTCAATGTGTAGCTTAATGTGCTGGCGTGTGTACAAGCGGCAAGCGGCCGTACCACGAAACTGGATACATTATACAAAAGTGCGTTCGTTCGATATTCATAGTGTATTAACAAAGGATCACAAACATATCGCACCAAGTAAAAGCCGCAATGGATTACGAACATGAAGCATACACTCTGTAGCATATTTGTTTTCTCGAAATTCATACAAAACCAAAATAATTGTTTTTAAAATAAATTATGCATCTTCTGATTACAAAATCAGTTGCCCATGGAAGGAAACGTACCTGTTTACCCGCTTACCCACAGTTATGGTGCTTTTGCAGTTTATAATGGCACAAATATGCATTTTTCGCATTTTCGACTGGTGTTTATCTACGATAAAAGTCGAGCGCGTTCTGAAATGTAGCAGCGGCAAAGTAAGTGAATTTCACTTAGTTTGGGCACGTGAAGTACGTACACTTGCGGCGTCTATCTAGATATATGTCTGTGGTTACGCACTTTAGCGATATTGAGGCTAGCAGGAGTTGGCTTCACCACTGTGTTTTGACAAAAGCAGAGCGGAACGCAGTTAGGGATGTAAACGTTGATCTGTTGAAGTGTGTAGGGGTTTGATAATTTTCCTCTTGTTATTAAAAGTAGGCTCAATAAAAAAATAAACGCATGAAATGATCGATACCGTGATATTTACAATGTTGCCCTGACGACATATGTGGTGGTGATATAGCTCAAAAACATGCAATACATGATCTTTGCAATTGTATATTATATTATTGGTGGGAAATAGTAAAGGTTCCGTAATTTATGCACAATACAAATTAAATTCAGGTTAACTGTAATACTAACTAAAGCGTTAAAATAAGTTAAAAATCCTTTTTTAATATAATAACAATTATATATAATGGTTGATTGCGCGTACATTTCGATATTGCTTTGCGGAGTTCCTATGTTGTCACTGATAACAATGTTTCCGTATGATGAAATAGATTAACAAACACCAAAGTTTATGAAATGTATGAAGTCGCTTTTAAATTTATAATAGGTGATTTACGATAAAAATGGCTAACAATAGTATTACGTTAGCAACATTTTTCAGAACTTTCTGTATTCTGTTCGTTGTTTCTGTTTTTTATTTGGGCAAAAGTTTTCAAAAGTAGCTTAGTAAATAACAGTACTGAGTAATACTGATATTTTGAATAAACTTATTTTAAATTTGTAGTGCGGCATGCGGGGTGAGGTAGGTACAGACAAGAGCACAAGCCAGGTATGAATATGCATCCTGGCGGAGATGGACGCGGGCCTCCGACAAGCGGAGGAAGCTACGCCCCTGGCAGTGCGGTGGCAGGAGCGCCGACTGGCGTTCGACAAGCAGCGCGAGAGGTTGGAGCAGCCGTGGATCTCTTCCGCCAGAAGGGTGTGTTGCAGTAGATAATCTACTAGTGTACGCGCTAACGCGCTGGGTTCTACGACCTCGCCGACGAGGACAGTTGGTACGTGAGGTGTTGGACTAATTAACGATCTGGTTGGTCTTCAAAGTGGCGAGAGTGATAGGGTCGTCACGGTCGTTGAGGACTTCCCTTGACCGAGGAGTCTACGCACGCGGTGAGATTTTCCCTGAGGGAGACGTAATAGGATCCAGCCTCCACGAGGGGGTTAGGGTGGTGAGGAGCACAGTCGAAGTACTTCCTCGATGCCTGTTTCATGAATTGGGCTATTGTGGGGAGTAAATAAATATGGAGATTAGCGTAAATCTATATGAAGATTGCGTTGCGCAAGTACCACGGGGACTATTTTGGAGAGCCTGCAGGCAGTGGATGAGGGCGGGATTCACGTTTGCGAATGCGACATTGGCGTACGTCATAATTAGGCGAATTCGACAAGAAGTCTCGAATGATGTGCACGAAACGATCAGGCACGCCGAGATTGCACAGCTTGTAAAATAAGCCGTTGTGCTAGACTTTGTCGAAGGCCTAAGCCATATCGAAGAAGAGGGCGCCGGGGACATACGATGGCGTACGATGGCGTACGATGCACTTGCTGAACGCATGAAGCTACTCATAGGCTCTAAAACCGAACGGTTCGTCAGGGAGGAGATTGTGGAACACGACGTAATCTGTGAGACGGGCGTAGAAGATGCGCTCATAGAGTTTGCCCATGGTGTTAAGCATTAATGTCATGTTCTAATCATGCGAAACAACATAATTTGAAAATAAAATTATTTTAGTT